TTCCAATAGAAATCAGCAAAAAGCTCATGAAATTGCATGTGAAAAGAAGCAAAACAACTGCAATTACAAAATAAAGAATCGTTTAAAATAGTAGCTATTATCTGCCTGCTTTCTCTTTTAATTCAAAGTATGAAGATAGACACTCTTGATCTTTACTTTAGTTGACCTTTGAACTGCTGCATTAAGATAACGCGATTGATTCTGAATTCCTTTGCAACCTCAGCATATTTAGAAATCAATTGTTGATTCAATTGAGCGATCGCTTGCTCTATAATCACTTCGTTGGGTGGCATGGTGGGTGGTTGAAGTTGAAGAGTTGCAGGGATTCATGGAAAAAATAGGAGTTCATTGGGTGGTGAGTCACGTTAGTCCAGACCCGGAGCCGATCAGGCCCCACGCAAATGCTGAGAGAAACGGATTGAGGACGAATTCCCCCCTCCCGATGTTACATTGTACGACGCCGAAAACATGTATATTATCGAGTGGGATTCCGAGAGATTCTTGTTTCTGAGGTTAAAATATGCGTTAACAGGGGCAAGGTTTAGGTTCGGGGCTAATGCGATGGTGGCTGGCAGTTGCTTAGTTTAACCTTCTGCTGCGTAAATCAGATCCCACATGCTTGAACTAAGTTGATTCTTTCGACAACCCCCGCCAAAAGCCAATCTGCCCCAATCACTTTTGTATGAACGGCCTGGTATGAGGAAGAACATCTGATGTTGATGCAGGTCGTACAAGTAGCTGTTGCGCGTCATCCATTATATAGAGAGATCTCCCAGTTCGTTCCCACATAGACATTTCCCCCCTCGTACTAGCACCGAGATAACCCGAGATAACCGCTACCACTACCTCACTCACAGCAAACGCACGCCTTTTAAAACAATACTGCTTCCGGCTGGCCGCTGAGCATGGGCAGCATCGGTCAGACTTTCTTGGGTTCCATCGACCAAGGGACGACAAGCTCGAGATTCCTCATATTCAGCGCGGCTGGAGACGTTGTTGCATCGCACCAGCTCGAATTCCGGCAAATATATCCTCAGCCTGGGTCAGTATACATGGCCACATATATTGATATCTGAATCACACGAAAATGACTATTGCTATATCTATTCTACCTTGAAAGGGAAATGAGACTGATGAGAAATTTCACAGCTGGCATGAACACGACCCCTTGGAAATAGTATCATCCGTTGAAAAATGCATCGATGGCGCCGTTGCTTCATTTGAGAGCCAGGGCCACAGTATAAAGACTATCAAGGCCATCGGCATTACAAACCAGCGAGAAACAACTGTGGTATGGGACAAAGACACAGGGGGAGCCGCTCTACAACGCGATCGTATGGACAGACACGCGCACGCAGGCACTTGTTCGCAAATTGAAGAAACGCCTTGGGGAAAATGACCTGCAAGCCCTTTGTGGACTTCCCTTGTCAACTTACCCATCAGTTGGAAAACTGCTGTGGATCATCGAAAATGTACCAAAGGCCAAAGAAGCATATGAAAAGGGAACCTTCGCCTTTGGGGACCACTGATACATGGCTCATATATAAGCTCAACGGCGGAACGAAGAAAAATGTCTATGTCACCGATCCTACAAATGCTTCAAGGACAATGTTTATGAACATCACAACACTCCAATATGATGAGCAGCTCATTGAGTTCTTCCGCATAGATCGCGAGAAAGTTCCATTTTGCCAAAATAATCCATTCATCAGACCCAGAAGGATACGGCTCCCTAGCTTCCACGGTCCTAAAAGGCTTCCGTATCACAGGCTGTCTGGGGGATCAATCTGCCGCACTTGTTGGCCAAAAGGCATTCACTCCTGGCCTGGCGAAAAATACATATGGCACAGGTTGCTTCCTGCTATACAACATAGGGGAAACCCCTGTTATATCCAAACACGGCCTCCTCACCACCGTCGCTTTCGACTTCAATGGGAAAGTTATGTATGCGCTTGAAGGGAGTATTGCCGTTGGCGGATCCAGCGTTAAATTCTTAGTAAACAATTTTGGCTTCATAGATAAATCCAGTGATATAAGCGCTCTGGCCGAGACAGTGGAGGACAATGGTGGCCTGGTGTTTGTAACCGCCTTTAGCGGCTTGTTTGCCCCCTACTGGATAGATGACGCGCGTGGGACAATGTTTGGAATTACTACGTTCACAAATCGCGGACATGTTGCACGTGCGACGCTTGAGGCGACCTGTTTCCAAACTAAAGCTATTCTCGACGCCATGGAGAAGGACAGCGGGCATAAATTGACAGAATTGGCGGTCGACGGAGGCATGTGTAATAGTGATTTGACGATGCAGGTAAGTAATATGAGTTGTTTCCTCTTCCCCTTGATATGCTTAGGCCACGCAGCAAATAACAAGCGATATATCTGTAAAACATTAGACACAATCCGATATCATATCTATTCCGGTACATCGACCAGCAATGCGCGAAACCACAGCGCTGGGGGCTGCGATTGCTGCAGGATTGGCTGTTGGCGTCTGGCAAGGGATCGAAGATTTAAAGACCGTAAACACAGACGGCTGCACCGTGTTCACGCCCGCTATTACCAAGGAAGAAGCTGCTAGCAAGTTCTCAAGATGGGAGAAGGCTGTGCAGATGTGCAAAGGTTGGGCTAATTGAGGGTTGTCATGTATTCTATTGGCAAGTTTTTGTTGGGTTTTTGACCAGTCGTAGCCCGAGATACCACAACGCCAAGTTTCCTATTTGGCTGTCACTCTCTCGCAACTTGACTGTCTATCAGCATCTATCTTCGTCACACTTCTCGCTAATAACAACGAAACGTAGTTAAAATAACCCCCAGCAGGAAACCGAAAAAAAAAAAAAAAAAAAAAAAAAAAAAAAAAAAAGAGGATTGGCAAGCCACCTAGAAGTCATGATACTTATGCGCATGTAAAAGTACGGTGGAGGGGCCCAATACTTCTCCAGTAGTTCTGGTACAACACGTGCAGTGCGCATAAGTTCACCAGTAGCCCCCTGCCAATGTGTGGTGAGAGAGACTTCTTGAGTTCTGTCGATCCACCTTGTTCCCAAATAAAACCGCCCACATCCACAGAAAAATCAATATCGTGCATCGCAGTTGTCTGGAAAAAGTTTTCAACGCGAGGTAGATGAACGTACATACATATTTGGATTAAAAATTTGCGCTCCATCCTTTCTATAGTAATTAGAATAAGCTGTCGTCATCAGCAGCAGCAGCGAATAATCCAGAAATCCCCACCAAAAAGTGAGCCGATTGGCTCGAAATATTTGTCTGTGCTCTTGATTGGATTTGCGGTTCGTGCTGGCACCTTGAGCTGAAATGCCGCTCTCAAACATGCCGTTGATCCTCGGGGTCACCAAGCCCGAACGTCGAACCAATGGCAAGAAGTGTGGAAGGTGAGTGGGTGGGTGTGTATCAGGTCAGTATCGCAAAGGGAACTTCCCCAGTCCGATCGAATACTCATCTTCCCGTCTGAGAACAAACATAATTTAGCGTCTTCAACTCTCCGCGACTATTAAACTAATTGAGGGGCCTGCTCTGGCACGACTTAGTCAATAATAATGACATGGCCCTGGGAACATGACAGAAACATAAGTACGAGGAAAAAATGCGCAGCTCTAGGTGAGGAGAGATAGGCTCGGAAGGTTGTGCGCGAACTGTGCCCATAGAATTAATGTACCAGCATACAGAAAGCATGCGTGATGACGGCATCCCATTATTCTAATCCTGTGGAGGCTGGAAGGCGAGCCAGTCGGGGTCTGTACGCGAATATGTGAAGTTTGTTGATACGAAATGGGTTTTCGGCCTTACCCAGCTTTCAAGGTCATTAGTTTCCAATTGCTTTGAGCCAGCACTAGTTGTTGTAAGTGGAGGGTGGTGGTTTACAACGACCACGGATGGCCGCGGATAGTTGAAGAAGTCGAAGACTTCGTAATATTCAAGTTCATTTGATGCGGGGACTTTTACGGACGGTAGTTGGAGGGCTGAGGCGGATCTTTGGGCTAGGAGAATGCTGAGGTCGTATGCGTTTCTGTGAAGAAGAATTAGTTGTGACCTAACATATACTTGGTGAATTCGCGGATGAATTGAAGCTCACCGCCGCATATCCCTGAGAGATTTTGGTCCCGACGATTGGGGAGAATGTGATGATGAGGATGTAGGTGAAGTCAGAGCCACACGCTTGGCTTCTTGATACTCTTGTAGTATGCGCTCTAGAATCTGGGAGTATCTCTTGGCGACTCCCCAAAACTGTCCCATTTTCTCCAGTGTTGATAGGAAAAACCAGATGTTGGGATTAATATCAGTATTCATGACTGAGGCATCAACCAACAACACCCTCGCCGAAACCCACAGCGAGAAGGCAAAATGAGGCCCAAGAAGGTCCAACATCCCCGTATTAACAACGTCTTGGACGATCTCACGTAAACTCTCAACCGCGGCAATACAGCGTTGCATCGCACTATACGACGGGGCGAAGATTTGTGAGCGTACTATTGGATAGGCAGCGCAAGAATGCAGTCGCAAGACGGAAACCACAAAGGCTGCATGGAGCATGATCCAATTAGATATCCTACTAGTGGGGCTTGAATGGCAGAGTTGAGAAATCCGACTGTAACCGTCTGGTAGACTGTAAAGCCACCTATCAAGCTCGCGGTCTAGTCCGCGATACGTAGCTTGCCATTTCTCGAAGTCCACCAGTGAGACAATATCAATGGGGTTGCGCAGGAATTTGTGGATACGACTTAAGATTCGTAGAACCTCACAGTGATAGGAGAAGCTACCCAGATTCTCGGCGTGGTTCACTGTAATCTCTGGTCTTCCGGGTCCAAAAAACCGTCTAGTTTCAACCGCTTGGTTTTTTGAAAATAAATCGTATCTGCAAGGTAACGGCCGATCTGTTTGCTGTTCATCAAGCGTAAAATCAGAGCCGGCTTCGACACATGCATATCGATCCAAGATGTATGTCATCCAAAACAACCGTCTGCGCCCTTCATTTTCAATCCAAGAAGTTGGTTGAGGCAGGGCAAACTCTTGCAGAGTGCCTACCGATTGATAGCTAGGAGGCCCAAGAGTCACTCCCCTCTCCGTCCCAAGCCCGAGCTGTATAACATTCCTCACTATCATGCTTAGCAGTGTCCAGCTCTGTGGCCCGTACGATTTGCCAAGTACATCCAACGCGAGGATCATAAGAGCCTGTAGCGCATCAATGTTAGTATTCTCGAAGGCATAGAGTAAAATCTTCTGTTTCGAGATAGTATCGTATTGTTCGCGCCATCGTGATGTTAAGCTATGATCCCTGTAAAACCGTAGTGTTGTCCGGACAATAGCATGCAGAAGGACACGGCCAGCCTCATCTGGCACGGAAGATCCAAAAAGTCTGTCGAGCGTCGCCTTTCGGTCAAGAATGGGACACCATGGATTGACGTGCTTGAAATATAAGTCAACAATCGTATACAGTGTACCTTGCGGCGGCAAATCTAGCTCAAAAATGGATTCATGTAATCCGGAAATGGTTAAGCCAACAGCACCAGAAGATTCCTGGTTGCCCGTGCCCTCCAGAGTATTCACTTTTGTCAGAGATTGCACGGAAATTGCTCCAGGCGGCTGCGCTCTCTCATATTCTACTCCATCCACATGCCGATTCTCAACACTGGATGACGCCTCCTCTGACGAAATGTCAACTGGAGTCGATCGACGGAGCTCAGAATCAGGGGGTGAATTTCCGAGTTGTTGGCAGCTGAGGCTGTGGAGGTGGTCGTGAATCTCGCTCAGATTTCATGCTCAACAATGTGGAGCTCTAGACGTCGTCCTAGCAACTGCAACATGGGCTTCGAGTCTGTTGATCTTCTGCTCGAGCTCGCGGTCCGTATCCGGATCGAAACCCAGGTCGTTGTCTCTCTCTGTAGACACAGACGCGGCTATTGCGGGTTCATCAGCCGCAGCTGGGCTCTGC